TATACCGATAACAGAGGTACAATGGTCCTAATATTCCAAGATTTTTATATCTGCTCTGCTTAACATTCAGAAACCTCCACTTTCTCAGTCCACCCTGTAGGGGGGGAGACTGTAGAACTAGACTGTTTAGTTCAAATCCCAGCTCTGCCATTTACAGCTGCATGACTTTGGGCAAGCTACTTAATTTCTCTGTGCCTTCGATTCTTCATTGTAAAATATAAATGATAAAAGTATCCAGTTCACAGAGCTACTAGAATTTAAAGGATTTAATATATATAAAGCCATTAGCACAATTCCTGGCCCATAGAAATGGGCTCCATAAATGTTAGTAGCAATCACTATTATTACTATCATCATCACCAGCCTCATTCTCAGCTCTAGTTTTACTATACAAGCCTCTCCTTTTCCACATACGAAAGGAGGGAACTATTTATCAGTTTTTACTACATGCCAGGCACGATGCTCAGTCCTTTCAATGTACATTTATTTATTTAGTCCTCGTAACAACCCTGCAGGTTAGATATTGTTATTTTTGATGTTACTGATGAGGAAATGGAGCCTTGAACATTCAGCAGATTCTTGGCATTAAAACGTGATGCTGGCGTTTGGGAACAAGTCACTTGGCAGAGAGTGGACCTAGCTAACTCTAGGATTCACAATCGACTTAACTCTTTTTTTTTTTAATAATTTTATTTATTTATTTTTCCCCCAAAGCCCCAGTAGATAGCTGTATGTCATAGTTGCACATCCTTCTAGTTGCTGTATGTGGGACACGGCCTCAGCATGGCCGAAGAAGCAGTGTGTCGGTGCACGCCCAGGATCCGAACCCGGGCCGCCAGCAGCTGAGAGCGCGCACTTAACCGCTAAGCCACGGGGCCGGCCCTCAACTTAACTCATTTTTAACTTGTCATTGTGTACACATGAAAGTCAGCATGTGTGCATACGTAAAGGAAAGAGAACAGTGAGCACCACTTATTGACAGAGTGCATGTCACTACTTCCTTCTATCTAGCCAAATCTTTCCATCCCTTTAAGGTGCTCTGCCCATTAAAACAGATGCTGAGCTCTCTCTTCTCTTAACTCTTAACCCGTATTGTCCAAATAACAATTTTGTAAGGGATCACATACGATTTTGTATCATTACTTATTAATTTCTTACAATATGATCCTCTAATAAGAAGTCCCATGAGGGCTCACACTTTGATCTTAAATTTCTCTCATGTTCCCTAGAGTATCTAGCATTGTGTTGGGCATAAAGTTGTTTCACAATAATATTTGTAGAAAAGTTTACTACCCAGACCCTGCAAGGGCATCCCAAATAAGGATGATTATTGTTTATCCAATAAATGCTTACTTATCATGTAGCAGGCACTGTGTTAGGTCTAGGAGCAGAATCAGAACATAATGAGATATAGCAGTCCCAGTCCTCAGAAGTTGATAACAGACTGGGGAAAACTACAGGTAATCAGATAATTACAGTACAGTAAGGTAAGTGCCATGACAGATATCTGAACCAAGTGTTGAGAGTATTGAAGAAGAAAGGACTAACTCCCCTTAAAGGACCCAGAAACCAGTGCAACACTCACTTATTTAACAAATATTTATTGACCACTTAATATGTGCCAGGCACTGTGATAGGTTCACGGATACAGAGGTAAATAAAATACCCAAGGTCCCTGTACTCATGAAACTTATAATCTAAGATTCACAGGGAAAGTCGCACTTAAGTGGGTTGACAAATGAGTAGGAATTCACTCTGTAAAGAGAAGGGAAAGGCTTTCCAGAAAAAGGGACCAGCATCAAGTCAAAGCCCTGGAGGCATGAAAGAGGAGAGCTTATAAAGAGAACAGCAAGAAATGGGGTGCGGCTGGAATGACTCCTGTGAATGGGGAGCTACAAAGGATGAGATGAGAAGGCTCATTGGGACAGAACAGGAAAGGTTTCCTATGCCATGCCAAGGCTTCTGGAGTTTTAGTTCATTTGGTCATTCAGAAAAATGTAGTGCGACCTTCTATATGCCAAGCTCTGCGCCAGGTACTGGGGACACGAAATCAGTAAGACAAAGTCTTTCAAGAAGCTCAGAGTATATAGCAGGGCACAGGCATGTGAAGAAACACTTAGAATACAGCACAGTAAGAGCAATGACAGGGGCATGTTTAAGATACAGAGACAGCTTAGGGAAGGCAGTGATTAGATTGACTTCGTATCTGGGGCACAGAAGGGTGGTCAGGAAAGGCCTCATGGTAGAGGAGACTCCTGAACTAGGTCATGGGGGACAAGTAGGATTTCATAAAGCAGATGATAACAGCAAATTGCATAGGACTTAGTATGTGCCACACTCTGTTCCAAGCACTTTACATACATTGACTCACTCAAATTTCATAACTACCTTGGCATTATTATCTTATTTTCCTCAAGGGAATTATCTATTATCAAAATAGATATCATTATTAATCCTATTTTATAAATGAGGAAAGACACAGAGAGGCTAAATAACTTGTCCAAGGTCACACAGGTAGTAAGCAGCAGAGCTGGCATTTTAACACAGTTTGGTTCCAGAGTCTGTGTTCTTCTTCTTCTTCTTTTTCTTCTTCTTTTTTTTTTTTTTTGGTGAGGAAGATTGGCCCTTAGCTAATATCCTTTGCCAATCTTCCTCTATTTTGTTTGTGGGACGCCACCACAGCATGGCTTGATGAGTAGTGTGTAGGTCCGCACCCAGGATCCGAACCTGTGAACCCCAGGCCACTGAAGCGGAGCGTGTGAACTTAACCACTATGCCACTGGGCTGGCCCCCAGAGTCTGTGTTCTTAATTACTACTTGCCTCCAAGACAAGAGAGGAAGGCCATTCCAGCAAACAGGACAGCATACACAAAGATACGGAGGTATGAAAGAGCACAGCCCCTCTGGGAAATTGTGAGTGGTTGACATCGGATGGAATGTAAATAATTAGATCAGCAGGGAATGAAGCAAGCAGGTGCCAGGTCATGGAAGGCCTTGGGTGCCACGTAAAGAAATGTCTTCATCGATAGGTAATGAGAAACCACTCAAGGATTGGGCAGGAAGGTGACTTGAGTAGATTTTCTATTTTTCAAAGACATATTTCTCTGGATTAAGTGTGGAGGGGAGAATGATAGGGATGCCAAGGGCAGGGAGACAAATTAACAGACCATTGTACTGCTCTAGGTGAGAAATAACAAGATTTTGAATTTAAAGTGGGAGATGTAATGGCAAGAAGGATTCTTAGGAGGCAGAACTGAAAAACGGATATAAGAGAGACAAGAGTTAAGGATGGTTTCTGAGTTTCTAGTTCCAGTTACTTAGTATGTGAATATAAAAGTAAATATAGGAGAATAAAGAACAGGTTTGGAAGAAAAGCTAACGCATTTAAGGGAAATGCTAGTCCATATACCTATTGTTTATTCTGATTCCGTTATTTTCACATGATTTATTCGCATCATCACACACAGTGATTCTCAACTGGGGCACAAGTGGGGATGCAGAGGAGAGAAGGGGTAGGTGGAAGTGTATTAGAATCCGGGTGTTTGCATGTAAGTGTACGAGCAGTTCAACTACTACCCTCCTCTTCTTCCTCCAGACAGTCTGATATCACAATCCTGCCCACTCCCTTCCCTCAGTGAGAATCACTGCTACATACAGTTATCCATGAATACTCTGCCAAAATAGAGACAGTTGAAAAACTTGAATGTGTCCCATGAAGGCACAGAACTGCAAAACTAGGAGAGATTTTAAAGATCGTCTAGTCTCAACCAAGGGCTGCTTGGAAATATGCGAGGGCATTTTGGGTTATCACAATGGGAGGTGTTACTGGCATCTAGTATCTGAGGGCCAGGGATGCCAAACTTACTTTGACTCACAGGACAGCTCCAAATAATAAAGAATTAACTTGTCCCAAATGACAATGGCACTCCTTTGAAGAAACAGATATACATTGTTAAACCCCCACATTCTATAGATGAGGACAAACTGAGGTCCCAGAGAAGGAAATGACTTGGTAAAGATCACCCAACTGCGTGGTAGGGCCTAGAACCCAGGGCTTCTGTTTATACTCCCCTTCACTGCGTTCTGACCTGGGTCTGGTGAGCCTGTGGGACACCTAGGAGAGGAGTCCAACTGAGTATAGAAGTACTCAGAAGGCCACCTTGCTATCACAGTCCTTTGCACATTTTCTCTAGCCCCAGATCCCACTCTCACCTCAGAGATGTAGGCTGGAGGTGCAAGTTTGGCAGGTGTCAGCACACAAAGCCTTAAGATGAATACCATCACCCTGGCCAAATACATAAAACGTGACAAAACTCTGGGGAGCACAAACATTAGGAGTCTAGTGGAGGCAGAGGAACAAATAAAGAAAACCAAAAAGAAAAAGTCAGAAATGGAAGAGGTTCAAGAAAACAAAGGGAACTAACTATAAGCAGTTTTTTGTTTTTAGTGAAATAATAATTACTTCACCATTCATTGGGTACCTACGTTCACTGCTTCATTGTTGTTGTCTATCCTGTCTCTATTCCTTGCTAACAGAAATCAAAACCAGACTGAGCTGGAGGCTGCAAAGAGTCCACTAACACAGCCTCCTTCCCAGGCTCAGCTGTAGCGTGGAGGCCATGTGATACAGTTCTGGCCAATAAGATAGAGAGGACAGTATCACCCAGATTTACTGAGTTTGTACAGGGTACATAGAATCATATTTGGTACTTTAACATTCCTAACAGACAAGAAAACTTTGCAAAAGAATAACGAAGGGGGCTTGTCCTACCAGCTAGCAAAACATACCATAAAGCCAAAGTAATTAAAAGAGTGTAGCAGAGATGTGAGAATTGAAGTCTGTACAGGGTCTCGGGGAAAGGAATCAGGAGTGTCAGGAACACTCTGGGGAGGAGGTACAGCAAGAAATAACTCATAGGTGTTCCACAGTAGAATTCCTCCAGACCGTCTTGCTCCCACGGTCCTTTGCACACTTCCTCTGGTCCCAGAACCCCTCTCACCTTCAGAGATTCAATCGTGGCCTGCTTGTAAATCTTTCCTCCACGATCTTTCTTCTGAGGACTATTCTGGCTTCTAGGCGTTCGAATGACGAATTTATCCATTGCTAGGGGACTTCAACTACCTTCATGGGCGTGCCGCGTGTTCTGCTCAAGAAAGAGGGCAGATTCGAAAACTTTATCAAAACTGCTGTGATGTGTGTCCCCTACAGTGACGCAGTTGGGTTCTATACACCCTGGAAGCATTCCTGAATTATCAGGACTCTTGAGTGGAATTTACAGGAAGAGGTCTTGAAACAGAAACATCTCAGAACGGAAATTGCATACAACGATCGGTCTACTTCCTGAGTTATGTAGTACCTAGCTTCCACAAGTGCGACCCGTGGAAGGGATTCCAGTACTGTGCCAGGCGTTGAACCTGGTGACTTCTGAGGCCTCTGCCAATTTAGGTTGGGTTGTGGCAGGGTTAGGGTTCCACTGGGTTCAAAGAAGCTCTCTTAACAACTAGCCCGCCACAGCCACAATCCCAAGGGTTCCCCTGTAATCGGCAACCAACAGCCACCTCCAGATCTCAGCAGGTCCTCACAACAAGCAGCCACCTCCAAAAACAATTGCTCGTGGTCAGAGGACCCTAACAACGACTGTCGTGCTCTGGATCCCCCAGCAAAGGAAAGCACTATCCTCCTCTGCCCTCAGCACTCAGGAGCCCAGCAGGGGGAACCTAATAACAGTCTGACGTGAGACCCACCGAGAAAAGCAGCCCTGGCAGCAGCTGGGCCCCTCCAGAGCGCAGCCTCAGAAGCCCCCAAGGCCGGACCGCGGGGGTCACAATTAACGGTCGCTCTTTCCACGGCGGTAGTTTCTCGGAAGAGGCTCCGCCCGCTCGAAGAGTGCCTCAGGGACCCAGCAAACCACATTCCCCAGAATGCACTGCGAAGAGAGCGGGTGAGGGCGCGCCCAGGGCGGCTGTAGTTCTCCGAGACCAGCTTTCCCGACTGCACCGTGCGCCTCCCGCCGCGGAGAACTACATGCCCCAGCGTACCCCGCGGAGGGAAGGAGTCAGAGGTGCCGGTTCGCGCTAATACTCGCGATGGTCGTATCCACCTCCTCTCCCCAACCTAGGAGAAGTTCGTAGATCCAGACTCCGGGGTAGGAGGTGGCAGTGTCGGGCGGGTCGGGGCGGAGCTGAGGAGACGGCAGAGGCGGAAGCAGCGGCCCGTGGGTGGGGAAGGGGGCTGGCCCGGGAAGGAGGAGGAAACTCTGAAAAAACAGCAACAAGCTGAGCTGTTGTGACAGAGGGAAACAAAATGGCGGCGCCGAAGGGGAACCTCTGGGTCAGGGCCCAAGTGGGGCTCCCGCCGCTGCTGCTGCTGGCCATGGCCCTGGCCGGGGGCTCGGGAACCGCGTCGGCTGAAGCGTTTGACTCGGTCTTGGGTGATACGGCGTCCTGCCACCGGGCCTGTCAGTTGACGTACCCCTTGCACACCTACCCCAAGGTAGGGCCCGTCCGAAACGGGCTACCCCCCTTCCCTGGCCGCCGGCTTCTCCGCTGTCCTGCACCTCTGTCGCCCCCGGGAACCCGGCCGTGGAAGCCACCTTTCAGCCGCTGCCTCCCACCTGCGTAGCTGCTGTTTTCTTCCCTCGTCCTACCCGCACCCTGCTCCTGCTGTGATTACCGGAAGTTTGTGCGGCACCTTCCCCGTAATAGGCTGGGAGACACCGAGATGAGAAAGACACGACCCTTTTCCTTTGGGAGCTTGCGGGGTAGCAGGGGAGACGAGCACACCGAGGGATGATTAATGCGGGGTCCTCACCTTCCAGGAGCATAAGGGACGGCGGGGGCGGGGAGCAGGAGCAGGAGCAGATACGCAAGCTCACAAAAGGGTAGTTCAAAACCCATGGTAACTGAGCGCCTCTGTGGGCCGGGAGCGCACAGTCTGCTGGGGAGTCAGACAAGCAGACAATTCCGCTGTAGTATGAAATGTATTAGGTCAGCCCCAGGAGTTGTGAGACGCCCGGGAAGGGCTTTCCGCCTGTGTGGAATTAATGTGTGCGGGGCGCTGCCACTAGTACTGGGATGGCTTAGAGAAGCAGCAGTAGGTTTCTGCATTCAAAGAGCTTCTGCACCATTCCGTGCAGAAGACAGGGAATTCGTGGAGTGGGTAAAGAAATGCGATTGCCCTGGGGGGGGAGGGGGTCACAGCTTATGGAGAGAAGTGACCCTTTCACTCTCCGCCACCCCCCGACCCTCCACCCCAACCCCGGTGCTGCTTTTCCGTTAATTCCATTCTACTTCTCAAGCTGTTTCTTCAGCTTCTTAAGAGCTCTGTTTACTCAACATTCTAGATTGCGTGGTCACTCCTCCACCCTTCCCCATATATAATTTGGGCATATCTCTCCTTCCCCCACTGCCTTCCTTTATAAGAGCTTTTGCTGATGTTGCTGGTTTTTTTCTTGTTTTTCCTTCATCTCCTCTATGCTGTTTGCGTAACTGTGTGGCTAGCCCTCTTTGTTCTCTCAAACTACAAAGTGACCCCGAGGACAGGTCCAGTGAAGTTTAGGATGTTCCTTATTGGCAAGTGCTTTCAGGGCTTTGAAACGAAAAATTCTAAATGCTGTCTCTTCACACGTGTCTGTTTACTGCTGGATTTTCCGTTGCATGAGGATGGCTAATTTTCGAGAAAAAGTGTGGCAGAGTGTATTATCCTAAAATTTTTAGTCAGAGACTACTATAGCACTCAAGAGGGAGAAATGAGAAATTATGACTTCCAGAGTTAAATCAATGTATACTATCCCTAAACACATTACTTCTCTTCTTATAAACCTCTCATGATTAACAGGGTTGCATGAGGAAATTCATTAATATTGATTTGGCCTGGAATTGGGCGGAGACTTATTTTTTATCGTTGTAGTGTTTGGTTGTGTGTTTTTTTGTTTTTTTTTACTTTTTTGAGATTTTCCTAGCAAATTTGCAGTATGAACCAGAATGCTGGGAGAATAAACAATTCTAAAGGATAAACCCTTCTGGAACCTTTAGGTACTTCTGTAATTTCCATTACTTTCTGACAATCAATGTGATATCTCTAAGTCTTTATTCGTTAAAGCTTTTCTTACCAGGAACCTAAAGCATCTGGCTACCAGTATGTCCTGGCCTTAAAATTTGTTTGTTTATTTATTTTTGCTGAGGAAGATTCACCCTGAACTAACATCTGTTGCCAATCTTCCTCTGTTTTGTATGTGAGCCCCAGGCACAGTGTGGCCACTGGTAGAGGAGTGGTGTAGGTTTGTGCCCAAAGCTGAACCCCGGGCCCCTGAAGCAGAGCCTGGAACTTAACCACTAGGCTACCGGGGCTGACCTCTGGACTTAAAATTTATTAACTGTCTGCTGTCTGTTAGCCAGTATAATGAGAGATTTACACCCATTATCCCTAATTCTCACAACCACCCTGCAAAGTAGGATTTTACAATTAAGGAAATTAAGGCTCTGAAAGGTTAAGTGACTTGCCCAAGGTCAGAGCCAAGAGGTAGTGGAGTAGTAGGAATTCAGTCCTAAAACTGGCTACATTGTGCTGCCTTCTATTAATAAAGTTGTATTAAAAGTACTTAATTTACTTCACTGATTTCTGTTGGCCCTCCTCCGAATTATTGTGCTTTGCAGTTCAGGAAAAAGCAGTGTGTGTTATAAGAAATTAGATGAATTTACAAGCGCGCATAGCCTCTCTTGGTCTGATGTTTGTAACTAGCAGATAGAAGTCTCATTTTAATGACTCTTTTTCAGAATTAATTATTTGTTGCAAGAAAGTAGATTACTTTACCTGTTTGTAAGTAGTTATTTAAAAATTATTATATTTTACCCTTTAACGTTCCTCAAAAGTGCAATTGCATAATTTGTGTTGGTCCAAATACAAGAGACATAAGTCATGTTAATAACAAAGGTAATTAGAGCCAGCCTGGTCATTTTTTTAACAGTGTGTGGGCTCTGGAACCTTGCAAACCTGGGTTCCATTCCAACTCCACTTTTACTATCTGTGTGTCTTTGCTGATCACTTAACTTCTCATGACTTCATTTTGTCAGCTGTAAAAACAAAATACCTCACACCTTGCAGAGCTAATGTGAAGATTAAAGATAATATATGTGGCACTACTAACGCAGTGCCCAACACATGGCAACAGATAGTTATTTCTTATGTTACATGTCATAAAACCAGTTTGGTACGTATAGTATAGTAATGCTGAATATTGGGAGAATAATTAACGACTCAGCTCAGGATAAGAAAATGCATATAAAATCTCTAGGTAGTATCATTGAGGTTCCTTCTAATTATTTAGCTGGTATTCAGATTGGTGGGGAGCACCACTTCCTTGTGCTCTAAATCAGAGGAGATACACTTTATATAAACTTGCCAGTCATTTGGGAAACATAGGGCTTGAAATATTTACTTGGAATAATAATATTATCTGGAACATAAAATACTTAGAATAAGGATATGATTCTTAGTAGCTACCAATTGAGTGCTTACTCTGTGCCTACTCTGTTGTATAATACATCAAGTGTTAGCATGGTACCTGGCACATTGTGGGTGCTCGTTAAATATGTTATTAATCTTATGTCTATTTATTAGATAGTATAGCATAATATTAATGATATTGTGGATATAAAATGTATAATCATCATATTCAAAATTGATGTAAAAGTATTGTCATTGTTTTACAGCTAAGGAAACTGAGGCGAAAAGAGACTAAGTCACTTGCCCAGGGTTGTACAGAGTGGTGAGGTTAAGCTTCAAACCAGGGCTGATTCCTGAACCTAGGCTCTTCACCATGCCATACTCTCTTCTGAAAATGTACAGGAGGGCTTCTTGGGTTGGTTTAACAAAAGAAAACATATCTGAAAATGAAATGGCATCCAGTATAGCTCATACTAACGAGCTCATGCTTCCTCTGTGCAATATAAGGAAATATGTGGTGTTCCAAAGACATAAGAGAATTCTTCCACTGTTTTACAAAGCCTGCAAAAGCTACTTGGGTATGAAATTTATCATGATTGTTAAAATTCTTTCAATTTCACCTTAACAACAAATGCAACCAGCTGAGGTCCAAAAATGTGCTACCTTTTAAGTTGTATAATAAAGCCTGTTTAATATTAGACTGCAGCCATCTCTTCTTAATAGATTGTTGCTGCTACATAAATTTTACTAAAACTGCTGGAAAGAAATGCATACCTTTGTATTCCATTGGTTGCTAACTGGTATATGCACATGCTGTTTCCTTCCTTATTAGGTGCCTGCCAGTTTGTACACAGTGGATCACACAGTAAGTTGAGGGGGCTCCCCCACGTGTACTAGTTTGTTTCAAATACTATACGTAGCTCATCAAAGAAAAGCCTGTTGAAGACATTGTCGTTAGTCTTATTAAGCAGTTAACATTTTCCAGTAGTGAAGAATCGATGCTATCTTGAGCTCCCGTACATATACAATGATGCCTATAACTGTTGTTTTCTATTTTAAAAATCTCTTATTATGATTAACACTACTACTATTTATTGAGTACCTTCTATATAGGTAAAGTAACTTGTGCAGGGTCGCTCACCTAAAAGGTTCTAATCCAGGTCTGGCTGATTCCAGCGGCCTTTCCCATACATCACACTGTTGCAGTTATTTGTGTTTTCAGTTAAAGTAAGCCAAGTTTAAAAAATCCTTTCATGTGAGCGTTTTTATTGATGTATACCTCACTGTGTGGGGGACTTGATGACAATATTTGCCATCTAAAGTAAGTCATGGTACTTTTCCTGATAAGCCTGATGATTTGTATAAATATTTATGTGGTAAAAGTGTGCTATTGGTCCTAAGGTACTTGCTTACTCATTTCTACCTCTGTTAAAGTTCTGATTATGTATTTTTATTTTCGATTTTTCCCCACAAAATATTACCATGGAATATGGGCAAAGAGTGATGTTTTTACCCACTGGGCTTCTTCCTTGAGTATCGCTTTTAAAATAAGGAACGAAAACCTCTTTATATGGCAAAGGTCTTGGGTATTACCTGGCTCCTATCATTTTTCTTTCTGTTAGTTATAAAACTTTTATTGGATAGTTTATAATAAACGCTAATAACTTTGCTTTTTTTTTAACCTTTTATTCCCTGAGGGAAAAATACTGTTTTTTGGTAATCCTCTCTGTTCTTGAACTCCCTAGGAAGAGGAGTTGTACGCATGTCAGAGAGGTTGCAGACTGTTTTCAATTTGTCAGTTTGTGGATGATGGAATTGATTTAAATCGGACCAAGTTGGAATGTGAATCGGGTAAGATGCTATGCTGATAACATCAGCAGTATGTACCATTGGTGTTTTCTTTGAATCGTGTTATGCTTGTGTGTTTTCCTCAGAAAATGACAAGCATACTGTTTAAAATAGTCATCCAGCATATTTTAATTACTATCAAGTTAGAGTTTTAGTGGCTGCTGCTGGAAATTTCATGGGCTTTAAATTTCATCTGTTTGTGGAGACAATGTTTATTTTGTACTATGGATAGGACACCTTTGTTTAACCAAGCATTTGGTTTGGACAAATGCGGTCGTAATTACCCTTCTCATAATTCATCACTAGCTTTTTGATGGATAGTATAATTTTCCTGAGCCTTTCAATCATAGGCTAGTTGACTTAGCTCCATGTTTTTTACTGAATCAGGCCTTTGACTCAGTACTTAATAGTATATTCTTTGTGGGTCATGCCAGTAAAAGAAGTAACCAGAGTCTTTGTCATCTCTTAAACCACTATTCTTACCTTTTGC